TCGAAAGCGGGAAAGCTACGTAGATAGCTATTTTCTCAAGTGACAGTTCAGTAGCCCCAAAAAATGATTTCATTAGATGATATTTGGGAAAATGTGCTTATCCTCTTCTTGCTGAAAGCGAGATGACGATACATTTTTCTCAATGTTTGTGCATTTACCATGAAGCTGCAGCGTCAGGTTGTTTGAGGATGCGGCTGTTTCCGGGACTGGGGGCATCTGTGAGACATGGGATCATCCCTGTGAGGTCTCTGTTTGGGCTGTTGGGGGTGGTCACCTCTTTCGGATCAGGAGTTCACTGGGCCTGTGTTGCTCTATAAGACCCCTCAAAGTCTGGGTATACTACAAAAAAGGCTGAGAGCACAGCTTCTTTGTGTAAGAGAATAATACATTGCATGCATTATCCTGTTGGTACCTATCTCTTGTACTTATACATTTTCCTTTTGGGGGGAAAAGGGAAACATCTCAATTTAGGTTGTATAAAAAAAAGAAATGAACTTCTGTGAACTTACCTTAAGTGAATAGTTTAGTTCTGCACGTAACCACCCTCATTTATTTTTACAACACTCAGATTTAGTCCCCCAGATTCAAAGAGCTAGAAGTTGTGTTCATTTGTGTTACGTTTGAGACCAGGATGCATGTTTTCTTCCTTTCTTTCGACCTGTTGTGCGAAGCTAACCAGCTTCTGGCTATGGCTTTACATTTAACAGACAACATGAGAGTGGTGCAAATGAGCATGCAAACATTTGCTTATTAGCACTAAACAAAAAATATGTCTGAGTTAAATGTTAATGCCATTTGTCTGACGATACATGGTCACAAACAAGTATTAGAAATAGCATATTTGACATACAAGAAGGGGATCCACAACTGCTGAAGAATGTATCTTGACCTACAGACTGTACTGTAAGTGGTGAACCAACAGCCAAAGCATGTCAGAGATCTGAGTTTGGAGACTCATCGTGACATATCTGCAGAGAAAGATGTGATTCTACCAAATAGCAACCCCATGTGGATTTGGAAAGTCAGTCTATTTCCAACGATAATTCTAACTTGATGTACTAAAGTCATGAGGACGTGTCACTTAAAATTGAATGGCCGAACTATAAAGCTGCCACCTTATTATGACCCTGTTATATCATTCTTGGTAATGAACAGAATACAAATGCAACAGTGAGCAGTACCTCCTATCTTTTGTTAATTTCCCTTTTTATTTGCATCCAGCAGCTTGGTTAAAATGTTGACTATTTAAATGTTTTCCGTCTGATTCCGCAGTGTAATATGTTTTTTAGGATTAGATAAAAAAGCGATATACCACTTAATACCAAGTACATTTTCATAGTTCATGTTTTAATTTGAATCCAAACTGTGTTAGAAACAGTGTACGGGAGTTTGATGTGTTGTGTTGATCGGGGACATGATCATATTCCCTATTCTCTTTCCTATTTTCCTTCTTTTCCTCTTGCTTTGTACTTGAGAATGAGACAATGAGCAGAACAGAGAAAAACCCCTTGTGTGTAAGTGTGTAGGTGCGCGATTGCATTCACACAAATTGCTCACCACCCACTGAGTGCTACAACGCGTGTGTGTTGGAACCTCTCAATCACAGAGCAGAGATCAGATTCAATTACGCTTGCAATAACGTTGAGGTCTCCAAAGGCCTAAAAACCATTTGTATGCTAATAGGTGTGACAGCAGCAATGACTTGCAATAAAAATACATCTGCTTCTTGATCAAATCTGATATAAGAACATTACCACAATCAGTCTTTGTTATTTGTCCTGAAACCACGTGTTAGGTTTGAGGATCTGCTGGGAAGTGTTTTGGCCTCAGCACTGCTGATATAATAACCCTTCATGTGGCCTTTTCTTGTCTTTCAGTCAGAAAGTGTTGTTGTTGTGTATAGCTGTGCACTCTCGGGCTAGGTTGAAAGTGGGAACATTATTCAATGGTGACAAGTCAAGTTAGTCTAAGTTATATGCAGCATATGCAGCATAATTACAAATGTAGGGTTTTATCAAATCTGAACAATATACTGAATAACACCCTTTATCCTCAAACCATCAGTGTTGATAATCAAAAGGGAGGAACTTCAAGAAGAGCAGCAGAGGAAAAAGAAGTAGCAGTGAAACAAGATCTTAGACTCCAGATGAATTAAGAGATTTCCGGCCACTATGCTAAAAGTGGGCTGTTAATTTGTTGGTTGGTCCATCTCTTTATTCTAGACAAATACTGTATATCCCAATAGCAATGGAATTGATTCCAATCACGTATAGTGGATCGGTCCAAATTACTTTGGTTACTTTTCCATGAAGTTGACATTTGCTGTTATGAAACAAATGTCTTCAAAATGTATTACATTTTCCTCAGCCTCTCTCCCTGGGTTTTATTTCATTTAATGTATCCTCACAGACTACAAGTTCAGTAGTAAACAAAATCAACATTTAAAAAAAAAGTGTTCTTATTTAGATTAGATTAATAAATATAATCCTGATTGATATGCAAAAGCAAACTGCATCCTGTTCAAGATACATGAGCTTAATTACATATCAAAAGAAACACAACAAAGTTAATCACATAAACATAATGAAATACAAGCCATACATGGCAGGTAATTTGGGGTGTAATTAGATTTGAAACATGTCAGTGAAATACTTTCCGGCGAGAGAGCGGCGAGACAGAAAGAGTAGAGTAGAGTGTGCATCCGGATATTCCGATGAGAGAAGCCTGCTGTGTGCGGCTCTCACTTCAAGGGCCTGCAAAAGATCAATGAGGAAGAATAGCAGAGGGACTGGACTACAAATTGAGCAGCCTTTAATCACCTCACACAGTTCACATCGGTGTGAAAGTTCCCGCCATGAAAAGGCTTAATCACTAGCCGAGCTGAATAGAGTCAACATGCTGCTAATAAAGGGCACACAGGGCCTGAGAGGACGCGTGTACGCAGGTGTGTGTGTTTATTAATGCACCTAGGCAGACAGTCACATACATGGATGCCCTTGTATTTGTGTATTCACACAATTTTTAGACTACATGCACACACAGGACTTTAATAACCAAATATGGCAGCTGAATACTGATGAGAACTTTTTGTTTATAACGCTCTGAGTCACTCTTTCTTGAAAACGTTATCTGAAGTCTTTAAATTGGGGGGTTTGTTAGCACATAAAGAAGCCCGGAGGTAAGAGGCAATCATCATTCGTCAGACAATTCAAGGGTTTCACTGACTAATGATAATTACCTGACCCAACAGTGAATGGCCGCCAGGCTACTAAGGGAGTAAGAACTGAGATCTGTCAATGCTCTTAATGGGTAGAGACGTGAGGGTCACTTGCACTCTTGAGTCGATGTCTAAACGAATACTCAATGTTTAGAGCATCACTTTGTAGGTTAACATTGCAGTGCTGCTGTGTATGGTGCTTGCTTGCACATGTGCAACATTAGTATTTTAGAATAAAAGCAATTCTCAAACGAGAGTCTTCAAAGACCAATAAGGATAACAATAAGTGAAAACCCTTAAGGCACCAGAAGGTTAATAAAGAAGCAGTGTAGTAGGAGACCTCATTAGTGAAAACCTTTCATGATGCTTCCCAGGAAGCTCATATAGCTGACCCAGGTGCCACTGAGAATGTGACCTTGGTGTGATGGTAAACGGGTAATAAATCTGGCGGCCGCAGGGACACCGCGTGTAGTTTGTGGACAGCCAGGTCAATGAGGAGGCCAGCTATGAATCCAAATTGCACCTGTCTGTCTTCCTCCCCTGTCCCCACTCTAAAAACGCATTGAAATAATGGTGCTTCAGTGGCTCGGTGAGATAAGAAGCGCGTTATTGGGGACGTTAAACGCAGCTCACCTTGCCATATGTCATACCCTCTGTCTCCTATTTTTCTGTCAATCACAGCTCTCAGCTAATGAATAAAGTTAAAGGGAAGATAATCTGTAGAAATGCCCTGAAGCTAAGCATAATTTGCATACCAAAGATGATGTGCAATTAAAACGTTGCAGCAGTGTTGTATCACTAGACAGTTTCAACACGGAATGAAGAGGCACATACATCAACTGATTCAGGACTGAAATGAAACCTGGCCACAGACAGGTTAAACAAACAGCTCCCTCTATATAACTGTTATTAACCTCTGGCTCAGACTGCTTAAAGGAAGTGCCTGCCAGCGTGTTAGACTTATTGGCAATACAAGTCCAATTCAATCAGAATTTGAAGGAAACACGAGGGCTTGTGCTTATTCCCCCATGTTGAACATATTTTGGCTGTCAGTTTTTGTCAACACAGTGACACAGTGTGTGGTCGACCCCAGTAACTACCTACCATCAAGGTTCACTATTTCTCCAGGCAAAAGACAGAATGTCCCCTTCAGAGGCCTACAAGTATATTTTAGTAGGATTTATGTTCAACTAAAGGGTATAAGATGTTACATTTCTTAGCTGTATATTTTGTATTTATGTAGTTTTCCACAGTGGCTTGGTTTAATTGCAGTGCAGGCTTGTTGTCCCTACTCGATCCACTGCAAATCACTGCATCCCATTGGAGCCAGAAATCTGAATTTACACTCACTGAACCTCAGTGTTGTGGAGAAGCAGAAAAAGAGAAACAAAGGATTCAGTGGATCTTTGTCGCCATCTAGTGAAACAAGTACACCAAGCTGAAGTTTGGGACTTAAGAGAAGATAAACCCACTTAACTCAGCTGACTGATTTGTGTCTTTGTTTAATGGAGTGTATTATATAATTCTGGCTGATAAAAATAAATGTAGATTAGCAAGTAGTTTTACAATTACAAACTATTGCGCCTAATACCAAACTGAGTGCAGAATCTACCCTTAACTGTGAGTTTCGTAAATGTTCGACAATTACTCACCATCCTTCCTTTTATACCCATAGCATCCTTTTAAAAAAATTAATGAAAAATATGTCAATGTAATTCCAATTGTTAAAGTCAGTGGGCCTTACTTGTGCCCGCTCTCCTCCGGCGTGCAGCGTGAAACAAATCGAACGCACCCACTGACAGAGTCATGTGGTCGGTCATGAGGAAGTAAACAGGGAATAGAGAGAAGATCCACAGAGGCAAGTCTTTTTCCCTTTGACTTATGATTTGTTCTTTTTATGAATTCACCAAGACCTAAAAAATCAGTTTACCAGGATATGTTATTATCTTTTCTTGTGTTGTCGTCTGCAGCAGTATGGTAAAGTGGCTTGCAGGCTACATGCTAACGTTAGCATGAACATAACGTGTATTTCTTTACAACCAAAATGAGTATATTTCAAACAAACAAAAAGGCCATTAAAAGCTAAACAAGTATTTTGAATTTATATTCAAGTGCCTTCAAGAGACCTGGGAATTGTAAAACCTAGAGATGTTAAAATGTTACAAACAGAGACACAATAGGAATAAGTATAGTGTGCCATGTCAAGTCCTCAATGCTTATCAAACTGTATATCAAAGGCCATTACAATGCAAAGCACTCTGATAGTATTATACATGCCAAATAAGGTTAATACTTATGTTATAAGCTATTACCTTGGGAGAATGGCCTCTTAGCCTCTGTCAGGAGAACCAGGACCATAACCATTCATTGTGGTACTCAAGGAGACCTCAGAATGGTGGATGAAACTCGTCTGTCTGGTTGAAAGAAATAAACTAATTCAAAAGTCTTGAAATTACCCACCAGTTGTTTTCAAATATCGTGTTTTTCTTTTTTTTTCAGCTGGAGTATTTTAAGCAGCCAGTTCATGCTGAAACACAGGCTGAAGTAGTAGCTGTTGTGTGCATCACCCTCTTCCTCTTCCTCCTGCCACGATGCTGGACTTCCTAGCGGAGAACAACCTGTGCGGCCAGGCCATCCTCAGGATAGTTTCCAGAGGAAATGCCATCATTGCCGAGCTCCTGCGTCTCTCTGACTTCATCCCTGCTGTTTTCAGGCTCAAAGACAAGAGCGACCAACAGAAATATGGAGATATTATATGCGACTTCAGCTACTTTAAGGTATGGACTTGATCAGGGCTGGATTTCTAAGGCATGTTGGCCTCAAACAATTAGTTATAGTCTCACGCTTTAGCCTAACTTTTACATACAACAGCTAAACTTCATTACATATATACTTGTTAGACTTTGAATGTTAGGCACATGATCCAAGCCTATTGTGATGAAGTAAATATTAAACCCAATAATTTTTTTTGTGGTAGGTAAAAAAATGTTTCTGTTAAAATTATCGATTTCAATATTGACTTTGTGGGGTTGTAGGTTTCCCCTAGAGTTCAGAACATGGAAGATCATGCTCAGTGCACGATTCATGAAGAAGAAAACAAAGCTTTATTATTGAACCAGTCTTTCAAATGTGCTCCCTTTTAAGGATCTTTCTGTATCTTTTATTTAAGTATTGATTGCACTTGTTTCAATGTTTTCTTCTTGCGCAGGGTCCGGAGTATTACGAGGGAAAGCTGGAAGCCAAACCTGAGCTTCAAGACCTGGATGAGGAGTTTCGAGAGAACAACATTGAGATTCTGTCCAGGTTCTATCTGGCTTTTGAGAGTGTCCACAAATACATAGTGGATCTTAACAGGTGAGAAAGGACCTTTAGGGTTTGTTTGTTTTTTAGTTCAGATCCAGTTCAGTAAAAGTTCAGAATACCCAACATGTTTTTGTCCTGTTGAAAAACACAACAAAGTCCCAACCTTCATTTGCACTCCCACCCCCTATGTTTTAAACCACTAAAAGTGTTGACTATATAACCATGTGTTGTTGTTTTATGTTCTCCTCTCTTCAGATATGTGGATGACCTACATGAGGGTGTTTATATTCAGCAGACCCTGGAGACGGTGCTTCTAAATGAGGATGGGAAACAGCTTTTAGTAAGTAACACACATGCAAATCAGTTTTCATTTTGTAATGTTACAGGAACGAGGTTACAAAATAAAAATCTGTTTGCGAAGAGTCAGAATGAATTTTCTATGTCACTTATTGTGTGATTGATGTACATTCATTACGCATTAGATACAGGTTTACTGAGTTGATTGTGTATGTTTTCTTTCCCCTCCAGTGTGAGGCTCTCTACCTTTATGGAGTCATGCTGCTGGTCATTGACCAAAAGATAGAAGGGGAGCTCAGAGAGAGGATGCTTGTTTCCTACTATAGATACAGGTGCGCTTGCGACTCACACACACACACACACACACACACACACACACACACACACACACACACACACACACACACACACACACACACACACACACACACACACACACACACACACACACACACACACACACACACACACACACACACACACACACACACACACATTCACAACATTGGCTCGCTGACTCACTGCATCAATGTACTCAACCACTCGTTAGCCAGTGAGCTCGCTCACAGCAAAGATGAGTCATTTTACCTGACTCATACGAGCATTCATTTGACATTTTATACAAAGTGAACAATAAAGCTGGTGTACCTGATCTCTTTTTATCTCTCTCCTTCTGCCTCTCAGATGCATCAACTCTTTATGTAAGAGTCTATAATAGCCTTGAAATGTGATGTGATTACGATGCACTTAATTTGTCTTACTTTCAACGCTCATAAGTTTACAAGAAAAGATTATTTCTTATATGAATATAATACCAATGTGTTAATGTGTAATTGACAGAAAATATCTCATCTCGTCAATAACATTTACAGAATCATGCTGGACTGAACTAAATTGAACATTTTAAGCCATTACAGCAACATTATTTAACAATCAATTGATGTGTTACAAGTGATCATCAGAAAAAAAGGAGCTTTTGTCCTCAGTTACCTCAGATTTTAAATCGTCTCTATTTCAGTGCCGCTCGTTCCTCAGGCGACTCCAACCTGGATGACATCTGTAAGCTGCTGCGTAGCACAGGCTTCTCCAGTCAGCCTGGAGCCAAACGTCCTGCCAACTACCCCGAGAGCTACTTCCAAAGAGTTCCCATCAGCTCCACTTTAATCAGCATGGTCATTGGGCGGCTGCGCTCGGACGACATATACAACCAAGTGAGAAACATTTGCTCGAACATACATTTTGATTCACAGAAATGTCAAATGTTCACATTTCACTTCCTGTCCACCAGGTGTCTGCGTATCCCCTGCCAGAGCATCGTAGCACAGCACTGGCTAACCAGGCAGCCATGCTCTATGTGTGCCTGTACTTCAGCCCCTCTTTACTGCAAACCCAGCATGCAAAGATGAGGGAGATAGTGGACAAATACTTCCCTGACAACTGGGTGAGACACTTGTTGTTCGCTAGGATTGTTCACTGGAAGTCCTGCAAGCTCAATATGCACAAATAATCATGCCAGTAGATAGAGCTGAATGTAAACAACAATTTTTTGTATTGTGAATGTTGTGCTGAATGGTTAATGTCGTCTACCTGCAGGTTATCAGTATCTACATGGGGATCACGGTGAATCTGGTGGAGGCCTGGGAACCATACAAAGCTGCCAAGACTGCTCTCAACTACACTCTAGAGACTGCTAACATTAAAGAGCAGGTATTAACATTTTACTGGTTAGCTTCAATGTCACAGAGACTTCAGCATCCCCAATTTACAGTCCCTCAGTGAGTATGCAGGTCCTGATAGCTGCTGTCTACAGAATTTGCAAGTCAATACGACTGAGCAGCATTTCAATTGAAACGCAAGGGTATTCATAAAATCAGTGACTTTGGAAAGACATTTTTAAACTTGTCTTGAAAAGTTTTGGTAAACGATGGTGACGTACAGGTACTAACAAAAATGCGCAGTGTCATAGTCATGAAGAACTCTGCAGCCAAAGCGGGAGGAGCCAACCACATTTTCCCCTGTTTAGAGCGTCAACTGCAGACAGTACCATGCTTCCTAAAGGCCACTTTTAGAAGTGAATTAGTTACATATTGTCCATACTTTTAACCATATCTCGTACCCAACACTCACCCATCACTTTGTGTTTAGTCCACTCGGTATGCAGCTAGCATGGAGAGCTTGAAGCCTCAGGTGCAGCAGCTGCTGAAGGAGGGTTTCCTCAGGCAGGAGATCATCCTGGACAACATTCCCAAACTACTCAACTGCCTGAGGGACTGCAACGTCGCCATCCGCTGGCTGATGCTGCACTCCGCTGAGTCAGGTGGGAATATTAGGCAGATTTTTCACTTAGGACCACAATGTAGCATGCAGAAAATTACATAAGTCTGTTGTGATGTTTTAATTAAACTCAGAATAACTTTAAAGTTCAAGGAGTGGTGAGAAATGTATACTTCTTCTTATTTATGCAGCCTGAATTTCACTTTTATGAGCTGTAATATTTGTATCGCATTCGCTCCAGACTTCCAAATGAGTTATTCTACCTCCAAAATATGCGAATATACAATGTTTTTTATTGACAGTTAATTGAAATACGTTGTTTTATTCCAGCCTATGATTTGAACAACAAGCGAATGCGTCAGATCAAAGAACAAGTACTCAACGACTCCAAGTACAACCCAAGGATCCTGTTCCAGCTGCTGCTAGACACTGCTCAGTATGAGTTCATACTCAAAGAGGTACGTCTCTTCAACACTAGATAGTATGAATAAAAACATGGAAATACAAGGAATTAAGATCAGATTGAGTACTATTATAGATGTTAAACAAAGGAGCAGGGACTCTGGGCTTGTTAATCTGCTGTCAAACGCTCTGAGCTCCTCTCATAATAGTGTGATATGCCTGAATAATTCAACGTGATCCAGCCAACTGTGTTTCTCGTTAGGTGCGTCCGCTCCGTCTCCTATTAGCATACACAGCATATGGCTAGCCAGTCCATCATTAGGAGAGAACACAAACCTAATGTTCTCATTACGCATCTCATCCGACTAATCCCTCCACCATCCCACTGTGTCTGTGCTGTCCCTCTTCCAGATGTTCAAGCAGATGCTGTTGGAGAAGCAGATGAAATGGGAGAGCTTTAAGAAGGAGGGATCGGAGAGAATGACGGAGCTGGCCGAAGTCTTCTCTGGCGTCAAACCTCTTACCAGGGTGGAGAAAAACGGTGAGTTACACTGTTTGTAAGGATGAAAGGATTACACACACGGCTAAGACCTGTGGCTGACTAAAGGAACCTCAGCCGTGCAGCGCTTCACGCTTACAATGTCATGGATTATTTCACATAATGAGTTTAAGTTGGAACTCAGAGAAAAATGTTGAGACAGGGAAACATAGTGGAGAAAAAAATGCATCAAGGACAAGCACAGAGAGGCGGATTAAATAACATCAGTCATACTTATTTCTGTAGCTGCGACTCTAGCTCTAGCAGAGAGACCCATTTTTCTTAACCAACACTTATGAAAAATACTTCAATAACATTCTTTCTCCGATTGTACCAAACCCATTTTTCACTCCTCGCAGAGAATTTACAGGCCTGGTTCAGAGAAATCTCAAAGCAGATCGAGTCTTTGAACTATGAGGACTCCACAGCTGCTGGGAGGAAGACAGTTCAGCTCATACAGGCTCTCGTTGAGGTGAGAGAAAGATAAGGACATTGTTTTTATCCTGCCTTTACATTTTTACATTAAACTGATACCCCTATTTGAATAATTGTGTACTATTTCACAGCTCACTGAGTTCCTTTGATTGCCTCTGCCTTGTGAATATAGCTAATGGGGGAATGCAATAACAATGATAGCAGAACAAAATGACAAATTGAACTGCTATGAAATGTATATATGAATAGAGGCACATCAGAATACATAATAGAAATGTCTTGTGGGCTCAGTGGATTTTAACGCCCTCATTTTCTCCTGTCTGCTCTGCCGCAGACTCTTTACACAATAAGCGAGTCAATGGGTACAGTCTTCTGAGCCAGCACCAAATGATCCTCAAAAATTGAACGAAAGCCAATAAAGGATAATGTCTTTCAAACATTAAGAAAATAAAACGAGTGGATGCAGATTTTTGAGTGTGCTGTTTTTGGTTTGGTGTTCAGGTCCAGGAGTTCCACCAGCTGGAGTCTAACCTTCAGGTGTGTCAGTTCCTGTCTGACACCAGGAAGTTTCTGCACCAAATGATCCGCACCATCAACATCAAAGAAGAGGTCCTCATTACGATGCAGATAGTTGGAGATCTGTCCTACGCATGGCAGATCATTGACAGGTACTTGAAACATAAAAAAGGCTGATCAAAAAGACTGGTTATGAAGAAAATGGCAGGGCAAACATGAATAAAAAGAGAAGGAATCCTTGAGTTGCTAAAGCTATGTTAGCCACTTATTTTCTGTTATATTTAGTTTTATCACTGTAATATACATTATTTGGTGTCTTTCTCATTGCCAAAAGATGTTAAGACAGTCTGCTTACCTTTCTGTTTAGCCATAAAGACGACCACTGTGCTGCGGTTGTTTTGAGTTCCTTTTATTTTTTTGTCTGTACAGCATAATTCATTTTTCTCTGTCTTATGTTTTATTCTGCAGCTTCACATCAATAATGCAGGAGAGCATCAGAGTCAGCCCGTCCATGGTCACCAAACTGAGAGCTACATTTCTGAAGGTAAGGACCGGGAATATTAATAACAATGAATACATTTGTCCACTAACTTTGCCCTAGAGAATTGCGACCCGTGGTGTTTAAAGAGTTGTTTTTGTTTGTGTGGCCAGCTGGCGTCTGCATTGGACCTTCCTCTGCTGAGGATCAACCAGGCCAACAGCGCCGACCTGCTGAGTGTCTCACAGTTCTACTCTGGAGAGCTGGTGGCTTACGTCAGAAAGGTCAGACAATGTGAACTCATGAAGTCACGTTTTCACAAACATAAACATTTTTCTTTCACAGTCTTTAACATTTTGTTTGGTACTCACAAATGAACATGGTTGACCACTTTGACAAATGAGCTCTGCATGCTCTGAATCATTTTCCAGAAGCTGCAGCAACACCTGCAGTCACGATTAATTTCTCTATAACCATCTGTTTGGCAAATTTACCCCAAAAACTAGTGGCTGTGTACCTTATTACCTTCTGGTTTCATCAGCCACATGCCATGTTATGCCAGAAGATTTGCTCCTACTAGCTGTACACACGATTTTTCATCTAGCACCATCTGCTTTTGAAGGCTAATCTATACTCTTCTGTCTTAACCAAAAAAACCTCAAAGGCATAAAGCAGGCCTATTCAACTGGCGGCCCGCGGGCCAGATGCGGCCCAGAACCAACTCCCGAGTGGCCCAGCCTCCCGTAGCCAAATTTCTACACTAGTACAGACCATGAACGCAACACTCCGCGTTGCATGGAAACCACCAAACCACAACGCAGCACGTTTTTTGAAAGTGCATCTAGTGGTGCTAGTAACGGTGGTCGTATGATAGCAACTCTAAAACATGTCTCTCTCAACTCTGAAGCGTAAACAGAGACAAAACGGTCATTGATCTTGTGGAGCAGATCCAAGTCAAGCTGGACCTTTTCGCGACCGACTTGAGCACGGGTCGGATACTGCATTTTCCGACGCTCCCCAAACACATCACATCTCCGGCACAAATCACGGATGTGATGACAGATTTCATTGCGAGGTTGAAAGAGAACTTTGCCGGTCGATTGGATGGACTTGCTCTGCCCACAGAGGTGATGATGGGCTTTGCCAGAGACCCCTTCACTGTTGCAATAGAGGGGGACGTATCAACCAGAGCAAAGGAAGTGGTCCCCTGCATCGACAATGGGAAATATACACTGGAACTTATTGACATGCGGCGCACTAACGGGCCAGCGAAGTTTTGGAGTGATGTCAAAA